AAGATGGTACCAAGAGCGGACTGAATAAAATGGCGGAGGCAAGTGTAGCACCAGGACTCTTCTCTCTCTCTCTGCTTTCTGACATGGACTCTATGTCACCAGTGCCCTATGCTCCTTCTACCACAGCTAAAGCTGCTATCACTGCCACGCCTTCCTACCATGATGAAATAAGTTTCTGAAGGATGAGTCAAACAACAAACCAATCCAGTGGGCTGGAGGGAGCTCTCCGGGATTACGTACTGAAGACATGAGCATAGGTATGCCAAGGACCCCACTGCTCCTGGTCCATGTGCAAATGTTGATACTGTGAGCACTCAATGTGACACAGCCTGAGAATGCTCCCCTAACAGATCCCCTACCAAGATTAGCTAAACTTGCCTCTTTGTTCAACTATATACAGTAACCCCACCTCCTCCTTCAGCCATATACAAGAAACCTGCCTCTTTCATTCAGATGTATAAAACAAACATGCTAAATTTCCTCCTCTTCACCAAAATGCACAGTCCACCTTGCCCCAACTGTACTCTGTGTACATCTGTTGTTTTAGACAAACTTTTTTCCTTAAGCTGTCTTGTCAGGTATTCTACCACAGTAATGAGAAAGGCTAGTCAATCCAAACGGCATTCATCTGGGTGAGTTACAAATACTAAGTATTTATCATTTCAAGATTTTGTCACACTAGGACATACAAATACAAAAAATCATCAGTGTGATGCCACCATCTGGAAATGTGGTGTCTGGGAATGCTCTATAAACTCTAAGAAAATGAAAGAAAAGTACAGTAATATGATAGCACAGCTACAAAACTCCCTGGAGCAAATTTCGGAAACCCTCAGACTGCATTTTAAAATGGGGTTGTCTGTACCTAAGCCTTTATTACTACCCATGCCAGAGAATTCTAGGTCTTCGGCTACCTACAGTACCATCTCACTTGTCCATCTCAGAAAGATAAATTCAAGACTGTACAAAACTCAACTCACTACCACCTTTTTTTCCACTCTCCTTCTGGCTCATCTATCTCAAAGACAAAATAGTTAAATCATCTAGGCTCCATCCCATCCCTTCTTTTTCCCAGTATCAAATTTTATTAATCCTTGTAGGATGCAAGGACTTTTTTAAAAATGCTGCAGAACTACTACCCTAAGCACCTAGGGATTCACTGCACATTAAAGTTTGAGAAACATGCCCTAGGTGGTGACAGTCATAGTAACTTCTCAGTACACTCTAAGATTTGGGGGTTGGGGGAGGCAGGAGGGCAGAGTTTAAAAGCCAATACTGAGAACAGTGTAATTAGAGCCTGGCACTTTATAAAGAAGGCAGCACTGCCTCACAATGTTGTCTCCCTAACTCAAGTCTCATCACCCTCAGAGTCTATCCTCTACTCTGAGACCGTGGGAGCCTTCTATACTTCTATTTTTAGTTTGTTTGTTTCTCCCACTTCAAGGTTCTCCCATCACCTGAACTCCAAATCCCTCACCATGAAATTGAAGGGCCTTTAAAATGTGATCCCTGTTTCACATTCCATACCAGAAGTTTGCAATTCACTGAAATCTGTTAGGCTGCTTGGCAAAATGTCTTTGGTGATCTCAAATGCCCTAGGCCTGAAAACCACTGCCGTATCTTCATAACTAAACTGGTCACGCTTCCATACAGAAGCAAAGACACCACAATCCCTTAGCCAGATGCCTCCTCACACTGTCTTATCCTCTGGCATGCTAATGCACCCCATCTCTGTCTACCTTCTCTCACAGGCACACAGAATTGAAGGCTTCTTACTCTTAGCTCTCATAGTACCTTGCACTAACACTATTCATAAAACATTGTTTAATGTCTGTCTGCCCCCTCCCAAATGCTGATTTCACTTGAAAGTAGAGATGATATCCTATTTATTTTCATATTCTGTGGCTGGGCTACATTAGCAGACAACTGACACATAGTAACTGCTCACATTGGATTTTTGAAGCTTGTTTAATAGACTTAGAATGATGTAAAAGAAATAAACCAGAACCTTCATATCTAGCAAGTACCTGCACTAGCGAGTGGAGAGCATCTGTGTGTGGTGTGGTGTGGTGTGGTGTGGTGTGTGTGTGTGTGTGTGTGTGTGTGTGTGTGTGTGTGTGTGTGTGTTTCATGTGAATGAAGGGGCACAAGTGTGTAGAGGGGCCACACGTCAATGTCAGTTGTCTCCCTCATTCTCTTATTTTTTTGAGCCAAGGTCTCTCACTAAATCTGGAACTCACTGACTGGATAGACTGCTTGGTCAACAAATCTCAGTGATCTGTCTGTCCCCTTGAGCACAAGGGTCAAAAGCATGCTGCCACATACACTTTTATATGTGGGTGCTACGAATTCACACTCAGGTTCCTGCTTTTGCACAGCACACTTTACTGATTGAGACAGCATTCCAACCCCCACAAAAGGTTTTTATTCTGTAATCCTACAGATAAAAAGGTATGTGTACAGACTAATGAATATATAGATGAACTGAAATAAAAGTGTAAGTTAAAGTACATTCAATTAATCTAACACTGACTATGAGGTGTTTTTCAGTTCTAATAGCAAGAAGAGAGAAGAAAATATGATTCTGGGTGTGTGAACAGAAGACAAGTGAGGAAAGAGTGAGTTAAAATCCTAAGCACTAAAAGAGCAAACAGATAATGTTCAACTGGTGAACCAAACAGAATGTGCACACATTTCTATTCAAATGTGTAAGTAAATGTCAAAAGGAAAAGCTAAAGCAACTGAGGTTAGGGTATGGTTAGGTGAGAGGACATCTAATTAAAAAACATAAACAAACCTTCCAGTACTACTTGCATGCAGAAACAAACACTATTATTTAAAAAATATATTAGGGTGCTAGGGCTGCAGCTCAGTAATAGAGTATCAAGGCCTTGGTTTCATTCCAAAAATAACAACCAGGAAACAGGTTACCAAAAAAGAATAAGTGATGTCAGGACATAAGGGTTACTACCTAAATTATACTATTCAGTGTATGTAGTACAAAAAGTGCCTCTACCTCACGACCATTTTACTCCCAACGCCTTAAATCATGACCTATGAACATTTGTATTTGGTATGTAAAAAATTTCATCTCAAGGAAACTCATTAAGGTTCCTACTACAGAGAGAAAACCTGAGACTCATTTTCCTTAGATAAGTAACTTCTGACATGGAAATAAAGAATAAATAATAATAAAAGTCACTTCTTTGAATATTAGAGAACATGTGCAACCTGAGAAAATGTCAAAATACTTGCCACTAAGCCTAACTATCAATTGTAAAAATCTCATATATAGAACATTGGCAGCAAAAGCCAAATGGTTTTTCAAACTTTTCTATTGCTGCCCCAAATGTCAAAATGTCTATACAAATAAATCTGTGTACTTAAAATCCAACTAAAAATATAGTCATGGAATTCTTTAAAGGGAAATTTTATTATAGATTAATTCCTCTAAAAGAATCCAAATATTTGATCTATAACTTGTATTATGAATATTGGTAACTAAGGAAACATGAAACGCTTTATCCCTATAAAGATCTTAAATAGGGAAGCTAACTTCTATGTTTTGCTATTAGAATATGTATATATATACACAAATATATATATACAAATATATATATGGTTAACAGAAATGAAAAACACCTAGTTATTTTATTGCTCTTCATAACACAAGATTATGAAAGAACATGTGAAATTATTGAATATACTCATCTATGAAAAATATCAAGAATATTCCAAAGTCCAAAAGAAATAAAGCAGAAATATTCTTGATAAGCTGTTGTTTTGTTTTTGACTCCTTGGAATAGAACTAACCTATTTTAAAGGTCTTAGTACATACGTGCTAATCTGAAAACCTGAACTGAGATAACTGATGCTACAGGGGCAACTAACGCTTACCTCAAGGGAACCTACTGCAGATAAAGTCCCGTCACTTGCACAGTCCTTTCAGCTGCCTGCCAGTTGTCTCTGTGGAAGGGAAAGCCTGATGAGTGAGAACCCTATGCCACACTCCTGTGGAGTGTAGGGTGCCTGTACAACTGCACAAAACTGCCTACCTACAGGTTCCTAGATACTCTCAATAAACAAACAGCTACAAAGATGCCACCTTTGAGTTTCTCTCTCCATTGAACAAGGAAGCCAAATGCAATAAGAATTCCTGAGTGTTAAGGACCTACTGACAGAAAAAGACTACAAGAATCAAGTACAAATGAGTTACATTGACAGGAAAAACACAAACATATACATGCCGCATACATACACAGGTAAATTGGTTAAAATTAATGGACAGAATTGTATAACCTGAGAGAAAGCTAGACCCACAAAAAGTCATTGTATCAAAACATCAGTACTAAACCTAAACACATTCATGTCCACCATTTTCAAAAGACGCCATCAAGCATGTCATGCACAGAATGGACCATACTGTGGACCTAAATGTCCACTTATAAATACCACGTACTTTCTTGGTGAGGTCAGTTAATGGGTGCTAGCAAAAGGGATTTATTGCATGTTTTTAAAATATGTAAAATGAAACTCATCAGCTTGATTCCACAAGAAATTCTATAAAGAAGAAAGGTATATTTTTATAACTAGGCAAGCATACAAACCCTTATAAAGATCAAACCAAGATGAGAAATACTAAAAATTTAAAAACTATGAAATGCAGCATATTTCAAAATCCATCTTCATCTTACAAAACTATGAACGACTGATCTTCCATTGATAACACTTTTGTATTATTATGTGCAAATGAAGCTATAGAATGAAAAAATTATTCTAATACCAAATACAATCTTCAATCTAAATTGCTGTGCTTCTTGAAGGCCACCCCCACTCCCTATTATCACTACCCCAAGGGGGTGAGGAACTACATGGAAAATTCTAAAAGAAAACATTAACCTTCAGTACCACAGTTGTTAAGGGGAAAGGAGGGATACTCATTTAAAAGATGACTCCAGTTTTTACTTTCCCAGCACCACATTTAAAATAAAATTACTTACCTCTGATTCTTTGTCACTTAAAGATCCTAAGCTTCCAAAACTGTGATTAGAACTTTCATTATTTGTTGAGGCCTGTGAAAGATTTTTTAAAGGTGAAAATTAGGAGTGATGTTAAAAAACACAAGGTATAAAACCAATCTTTATATATATGTGAAAATCAAGTATGATTTCTTTAAGCAAGGAAACCAAGCAAGGTAAATACAACAAATACCATGTTCTCAACACTACAAATATTTGGAATGATTTGTTAAGCTACCAAAATTCTGCTGTTTCAGGATCTTACTTGTACTGGTGATTTTTTTTTTTTAACAGCATCAATTCAAAAGACAAGGAACTGAGACACGGCTGGGATACAAGATCACTAAAGTTACCAGCCAATGGAAAGAAGCATTATCAGTATGCTTAAGTCAAAATGATGGCATTCAAGGTCTCACACCTTTTTCATGGAAACAGACTGCCTTTTTTGTTCAGTTTGGATATAAGAAACTCTTAACTACTTTGACAATCTTAACTGCTTTGCTTAAGTTTCCCAATTTTCTGGACAGTGTATTTTTGAGCAGTGATGGACAGACAGACACAAGCTTTCTTGTCAGTAGGCTGGTATCTGCTTTGCTTCTGTAATCTTAGCATTTTGTGGACTTGTATCAATGTCTTAAATCTATCCTTACAGGAATGTTTTGACCAGATGATGATGACAGGTTACTGCACAAATACAAACCAACTGATATCCTCAGATGCCCTTCTCCTTTGTTTTTGTTTGTTTGTGTCTGTTTGTTTGTTTTCTATGCTGATTTTTTAATTTAAACTAAAAACAAGCTTGTTTTACATGCCAATAATAGTTCCCTCCCCCTCCCCCTCCTCCTCCGCCCCCCCTCCAGCCCTCCAATCCCATCCCCTTTCAGCTCCCCAGGGAGGGTGAGGCCTTGCATGGGGGAATCTTCAAAGTCTGTCATATCATTTGGAGCAGGGACTAGACCCTCCTCTGTGAGTCTAGGCTGAAAGAGTATCCCTCTATTTGGAGTGTGTCTCTCTCCTTTGTAAGAGTAGCTACAAATCTTACTGTTAAGTTACAAACTGGTCTAATTATTTGTAAATAAATTTCTGGTGACAACTGTGATTAAGTTATCAACACAGAATGGCAGCTGAAATTGTTAAGATTCAAGGAGTATTGGGACAGTTAAAATTGAGCAAATCTGTCAAACTAGAAACTCTGATTCTGAAGTAATGCAGGCAGTGGCAAAGTTTTTGACCATCTGTAAAACGCCATGAAGATATACACAAAGCTAAACAGGTAACAGAAATCTACAGACACATACAATACAGCCAAGTGGCAGGAATAGCTACAAATTCTCCCCGAAGCAGCAGGTGGGGCAAATGCAGAAACAGCCACCACAAGGACTGTATGGAGAACAGCAAAAAGAGAAAGGCTGTCTACAAAATGAAAACAGGGTACCACCAAACAGCAGAACCCACTCATTAAGTCAGCAAAACAATTTAAGGACAGAAGCTGTAGCTGGGAGACTCTGCCCATTGAAATAGTCATTAAGCACACACAGTCCATCCACAATTAAAAAAGGTTGAGACAGTCATCTTAAACGAATCCTGGAAAAACCTGTCCATAAAAGGAAATGAAGTACAAAAGTGTAGATTATTGAGTGTGGAATTAAGAGGAACACAGTAGGCACAATAGTAATAAAAAGAAAGAAATATTCAGATAAAAACACCAGAAGAGGGCTGGGGAGAGATGGCTCAGTAGGTAAGTGCTTGTTGTGCAAGCATGAGGACTGAGTTCAATCCAGAAGTAGTAGTAGCATGCCCCTGTAATCTCCACTCTGCTGAGGAAGAGACAGGAGCACCCCTGGGGCTTCTGGCTAGCCAACCTAGTCAAATGGAGGAACTCCAGGTTCAGTGAGAGACCTGGTCTCCGAAAATAGATGGAGGACTAGAGAGACCTGTGGTGATATTTTGTTCTAACAAATAAAGCTTTCCTGAAGATCAGAGTGCAGAGCTAGTCACACTAGTTAGCCATAGACACCAGGCAGTGGTGGCACACATCTTTAATCCCAGTACTCGGGAGGCAGAAGCAGGTAGACTCTGTGAGCGCAAGGCCACTCTGGGCTACACGAGATTATCTAGTCTAAAAGAGAAACAGAGCCAGATAGTGATGGCTCGATCTTTTAATCCCAGCACTAGGGAGCTGGAGACAGAACTATAAGGTAGGAAGAGACAAAAGACATGGCATTCAGTATTAGGATTGCTGGGGACAGGCTCACCCCTTTGGTCTGAGATTTCAGTAGAGGTAAGAGGTCTCTCTTATGGCTGGCTCCTTTACTTCTCTGACCTTTGAGCATATACCCCGATATCTGACTCCAGGGTTTTATTATTAAGATCTATTAGAACTCATGCTACAGAGACGACTTAGCTGTTAAGAGCACTAGGTGCTCATCCAGAAGATCGGATTTAATTCCCAGCACCCATATTGTAGCTCAGAACTATCTGTAACTCCAATTCTGGAGCATCTAACCCATTCTTCTGGTCTCTGCAGCAACAAGGCTGCAGGTGATGACGAGACATACATGCAGGCAAAACACCCAAACACATAATATTAAAAATAAAAATTTTATGAAGTGTATAGTAATGGAAGAAGACACCAGCATTGATCTCTGGCCTCCAAAAACATATACACTAACACATATATGTAAACACACACAAATTTCTAAAGGCACAGCCTAGAAATCTCAGAAAGAAAGGTTTTGAAGTGAACCCAAAACCAAGAGCAAAGAGAACTCTGTGGGGAAAGCTATGCTGAACCAACTTAGTATTCAAGCCATTGGATTTCTCAAAAAGCAAACAAAATGGGTCAAACTTTTGAAGATACCACAAGGAAAATAAAGATGTAATAAGAGCCCAAATTAACAAAAGTACCAGAAACACCCACAAAATAGGGGAAAACTGTAACCCACTATTTCAAAATGAGATACAGCACTACAAAATGTTTTACAGTAAGAAAGAACACTACAATCAGATTTTGAAACACGAAAGGTGGCAGAACTAGGGAAGCTTTAGAAATAGTGTCAGTGAGGAGCAAGCAATAAACACAGCAGAAGATGCTTTAAGGTCACAAGGACATTATGAAATCACAAGGAACGTAATTTTTTAAAAAAGACTTATTTATTAGATTTATTTGGGTGCATGCGTGTGTCCATCTGTCTGTTCACCATGTGTGTTCCAGGGATTGAACTCAGGTTGCTGGGCTTGGCAAATAAGCACCTTTACTCACTGACCCATCTCTTAAAGACTGCTGAAAAGAGAAAATAACAAAAATTACAATTTAAGGAGTACTTCCTGAAAATATCTCTATGAGTTTCAGGACAGCCAGGGCTACACAGAGAAACCCGTCTCAAAAAACAAAACAAATAAGCCAACAAACAAAAATATTAGAATCAGTAAGGGTTAATCCATGTGAGGACTGACAATATAAAAAAAGAAAAAGGAAAACTACCTTGGAAACTTGAAATGAAAATGGAAAAGAGTAATAATAATAATAACAACAACAAAGACATCAAGAAGTGAAAGAGGGAGGGGCTGGAGAGGTAGCAGCTGACTGCTCTCCCAGAGGACCCAGCTCCATTCCCAGCACCCACATGATGAATTACAACCATCTCTAACTCCAGGGGATCTAACACACACGGTATACTTACATATAGGCAAGATGTCCATACACATAAAATAAATAATTTTAAAGAAGCTAAAGAACCTCCAAAACAGACCAAAACAATCACAAGAAGACTAGACTGTGCAAGTTTCTGGTCCAAATAATGAGACAGTGATGTAGAAGGAGGAAAGAAAGGATGACGGTGGTGGTGGTGGTGGTGGTGGAGGGGGGGAGAAGAATGGTGATGATGATGATAATGGTGATGATGATGATGACTGTATGATGAGCCAAACTTTCCTGGAACGGGAAAGCATGAATTTTAAATTAGGAAGAAGGGTTGAAGAGATGGCTCAGTGGCGCACACTGCTCTTGCAGAGGATCTGAGTTTAGTTTCCAGCACATGTTAGGTACCTCATAACCTCCTCTAATTGCAGCCCCAGGGGATCTGGTGCCCTCTTTTGGCCTCTGTAAGTACCTGTATTAATATGCATATATCTATACACGCAGACATAATTAAAGACAAAATAAATCTTTTTTTCCCTAAGTAAAGAAAGAAACCTTAAAATTGAAAGGATGCTCTTGCTGAGCCAAGCAGACCCAAAGCACATGTAATAAAGATTAAATGCTATCGATAAAGACAAGATCCTAAAATGCTTCTGAGGAGAAACAATTCATTCACAAGTATCAGGAATCAGAATGGCACCAGAGAGACTAGCAGTAACACAGAAAACTAAAGGGCAATGGAACACTGCTTCAAAAATTTGGGAAAATGATTTCAAATCTAGAATTTCCAATTATATTCCTAGATAATAAACAAAAAAATTACAAATAAGAAAATATGCACGATCGCAAAAAAAAAATCACCATGTTCCTTTCCAAAGGAAGTGACTGTAAAATGTGCCCTACCAAAACAAAGAAACAACCCAAGAGACAGAAGATATGGGATACAAGGAAAATACAAATCAGCTGGAAATGAATACTCAGGACTAGAAGAGCAATTCTAGGATAATACACATACCAGAGGAACAGAGCAAACAGCCTCGGTTAGAAAACATGAATACAGTACTTCAGGGGAGAGGTTAAAAGAACAAGGAAAAGCAGGGGAAGAATAATTAGTATTTTAAAATGATGTCTGCACCTCTCTACTGAGAAGTACATGAATGATTACACTAATCCAACAAATAACTGTTAAGTGTAGAGAAAATAAAAAGTTTTACTAAGGAAGCCGGGCGGTGATGGTGCATGCCTTTAATCCCAGCACTCGGGAGGGAGAGGCAGGCGGATCTCTGGGAGTTCGAGGCTAGGCTGGACCGACAGCCTCCAAAATAATACAGAGAAACCCTGTCTCATAAAACAAAAACAAAAACAAAAAAAAGTTTTACTAAGGAAGTATAATAATGGAATCATTAAGTTCAGC